CAAAGATATTTTGTATATTTTGCCAATACATTGTATAATACAAATAAATCATGAACATGATTATCTACTCTTTTGGTTTATCGACTTACATGTTTTAACCCACAAAGGTAATAATGTATATTTTGTAAAAATTTATATTTTGAATTATGTATATTTTGTATATTACAAAACAAGTTACAAATCATCAAGCTTAAAAAGAACAATAAATATATGCAAATTTCATACAAGCATACAATAAATAATTGTAGGCCTAGCGTTATTTTTTACTAGAACGCTCGAAAACGTATCATTTGATCAAACTCCCAAGTCTAGTCGCAGTCAAGTATGAAATCTATTCAAGAAATATACTTATATATCGGAATGAGCATCAACATAATATATCTCTAATTTTATCTGTCTGCAATCATAAAAAATATGACTCACTTATTATTTTCACAAATCAAACTAACTAATGACTTATCCTTTTACCACCACAAGTTTACAAACCTTTTCGTGACAGTGTTTAAGATACTGCGTCTTTGCCACGCGCGTACTGCGCTTTTATGCCCCTGAAGGGAGATGTTACAAAGCTTATCTGGCGACTTTCTTGATCCCCTGACGTTTTCAACGCGTTCCAGAACATGCTCTGAGCCAATTTACGTCGTAAGAACGTCTTCTGGTGTGACGGAGCCGATTAAAAAGTTATAATAGCCCCGTCATACCAAAAAAAGAGAAGAGCATGTTAAGATTGTCAAAGATTGTCTATAGACAAGCGTCGTAACATCTCGATAAACGGAATACAAAACGCTTCGTAGGAACCTATGATGGTCGCATATGTCACAGGTTGATAGCGATTGTGGTAGAATTGGTAATTTCTAGGGAACAAGTACATTTTTAGTCGCCGTAAGAATGGTCGCAGTCCGGTGTGATGGGCTTATGGAGTGAATGAAGTAATAATGCTGTTATCGTTGTTAAAATGATGGATATTTTTTACGGATCATTTACTGAAGTTGATAAATAAACCAGTATATCATTATTACCGTGTTTAATATATAGTGTTGTATCGGCCTGCAATTTATCATAAGATCTCTGATGTACAAAACCGTGGGGACACAATGTTCCACTATCACCATTAGTTTGAAATGGAAATCGAATAACAATAAAAATCGTAGATGGTTTAAATCGGCGTGTTTTTTAATATTTAATTTTGCCAACTTATGTTTTTATCTTTTTTATTGTATCTTATGTTTGTGTTGATGAGCTGAGTGCTAGAACATTTTATTTTCGATGATTTGGTCCCAATTCAGAGAAATTTAAAGGTATTATCTCCACGACAATGTGGCGGATTTAACATCTCATTATTGCACACGACATCCCTGATCTAATTTTTTGATTGAAGGCTACAAACAATTTTGGTCAACCTTTTATAAATCAAGAAGCAAAATATCGTAACTACAGGTATCCAAGTGGATCAAGGCTTATCAGACGACGTCTACTCAAGACGTTATGATGCTAGTAATGAAACATACAAATAAACATCAAATTTGTTTTCCACCAGCACCAGTATCCGAATTATTTTTTTAAAGCTACTAACTACCTTTACATTTTCTTTAGAGAAGCGATCGACATCTTTACAACTTTTTCAGAAATTATAAAATATCTTATAAATTGGGCTATGCCCTCTAGCAAAGGTTAGTTTCGTTGTAAGTTTCCGATATCATGACATAACTACTACCTTGATTATATATTACTAACGAGATGGGAAGGAAATTTGGTCTTGATTAGCCGATGTCCAAGTTATCAACCGACCTAACGATTTTATGACCTTTCCATTAGTTTAACGTCCAATAAATAACAGTGAACAGAGACCATCAATTATGAGTATCAGAATATAATCTGTTATATAAGAAGCCAAGTTGTGGGCATCAGAGCAATATTAGGAAGTTAGTACTTCTGTTCAATAGACCATCGTGAACAACGTTCAGTTTTTTGCGATAAACTATTGCAAAAATACCTATTTGTAAAAATCGATATGAATTTTTTCATAAATTTGAAAAAAGTGATGATGGAGCATAATTCTGTTTATCACAATCCTCTATAAAGTTTTCGCGAATACAAGTCTACGAGGTAGACAAAATTTATCCATATCAACAACAACAATAGGATATAATACCCGACCAATTCCCAGGGTGACTTGTGATTAGTTCATTTTCTATTTTCGGCTAAATTATAAATTCAAATTGCTGATAGATATTGTCATATGGCTTAAAATTGATCTAAATTTAATCCGAGACTTGATTATTGACCTGTCATCAAAACTTATGTATAAATGTGAAATAATGTGAAGATACCAGAGTACGGCACTGACTTATGTACTGATTCAGTGTCCTTAACTATTGTCGTTCGGATGGGACATTAATCGGAGTCCCCGTGTGCTACTGGCGGATGAAAATCGAAAAAGAGTAGGCGAACGCCGCTGTTCTGCCAATTTGGCAATCCAATTTCAATCTGCATTGCGTTGCCCGTCTTCACTAACCTAATTAGTTTCAGTAAAGTAGGACGTAAAACTCCAATCATTTCATAAATTATATTAAAGAGTGTTATTTTGTAAAAAAATAACAAAAATTAGGGATTTCATAAACAAGATATGAGTACTATTTTTGAGTAACTTTTTGTAAAAGAAAGGATATCGTATGCTGCTACAAATAGTAATTCATTAAATGTCTACAATTAGATTGATTCTGTCAAATAAAAAGGTCTCGCCAGTTTGTTTCCCACTTAGAGACAGAAATAAAGTTTCATCAAAGCTACTTTCGTTATTATCCTGTTAAAAAGTATCGTTTTACTATCGTTGATATTAATACTATATCTCAGATGGTGCTAAAATGGATGATCTTTTCAAAGCGACAATAACTTGACTACTGTATTATTTTAACCCAACAAGATCAGCATAACATTAATATGAAATTTTGCATAAAAGTCCTATTCAGAAAAAAAACCGGGAATAAAAAGCGAAAAGTATCGCTTGCCACTACTTAGTAATACTAAGAATGTGAACGTTATTACTCCAAAGATCTGAATTGCAAGATCCTAGTTCGCTAAACTGAATAAGAAGAAGTCTGATAATGGTACCACTATCATTTAACACACTGGGTGAGAGGTTGATCAATGCCGAATGATTACACTATTACCCTTCTGATCCGTATGTCTTTGGACGTGTCGCTTCAGCTCAGTTAGACACCATTTCGATTACCTAACGATTCAAGGTTCGATCCAGGCATATGTCTAGTAACTACTTTCGGATTTTTAAAACGCGCAATCCCCAAGTTAGTGATGCAGGATGGAGGGGCTGACTAGTCGTTCGGGTGGAACAATAAACCGAGGCCCCTTGTGCTACAGGCTGTGTATGTTAAAGATTTTTCTCAACAGTTGGAATTAGAAAGAATGCAGGCTACTGACGCAAAGTTTCCTTCACTGCACATTGCATGGCGTTGCCCGTCTTCATTGGCCCATTCCTTTCGTTTCACATACGAATGACTTGTATTCAGACAAATAGGTGTCCCAGTGTTTTGTACCCAGTTTTCAAAACAGATGTAGTCAAAAAATTACGAGTCAATCCTTCTTACTGTCGATTTCTTTGCCAGTCCGAATTTGGAAAGTTAACCCAGTTAAGTTGTGTTGACAACAAGACGAGTTCTAGTCAACTAGATACGTCATTTGGGTTGTAGTTATTGTTTTCTAAGAGCTGTCAATCGGATAATCTGGATAAAATATTACGTATATTGTATACGAAGGCGGAAAAGATTGACCACTGTAATACATCAAATGAAAATAAGCACCTTGTTATCTGTAGTTGTGAGAAGGTGTTTTAAAGGGATGGACTGATTTGATCTCTAAATGGGATATCATGACGATGAAAACTTACGAATAAAAGAGTATCTTGTCGAAAAATACCTTATTACAGTATCTAAGACTTCTGAAAGTGTCTAAAGATAGTAAAGACAGATAGTTATTAACCGTTAAGTCACCTCATGGCGATCAAAAGAAAATAACAGATTATTAGACACTTTTTTTTTACCAAATCGCTTTTAGTTAAGACGACAAACATTTTTTCCCTGATCTCACGCATGGTATGATACCACCAATATCCGATGATCTTGTAGTCCCGTCACACCAGACTCCTACCATTTGCTGGTGACTGGAAGTGTACCAATGTTTGATATTACAAATTTAAACTCATGACGCGAGTTGTGCGACCATATTGCGTTCTACTGTTTTTTGGCACACGTATACCATGCTTTTATACAGTTTAAGGAGATGCTACAACTTGTCTCGCGGCCTTCTTCTCTATCCCATGATGTTCTTAATGAGTTCCAGGGCAGACCGCCTAAATAAACGCCTTAACTCGGCGAATAGTCGCAACAATAGCGGGATGTCTTGCGTGTCTTAACCCTTATGGCGACCTCAACGGCCAATTTTTCGTCGCAGTAGCATTGCAGTAAGGTGTGACGGGGCCATTATATGACGGTACTTAGTGTGAGTTTATTTTACATTCTGTCCGATAATTTGTATCATTATTTTTTTTAACGAGACACATAACCTAAATAATAAAACCTAAAAACCATTGCCGTTGAAGATCGAAAGACAACACTCTAAAGACCATTACAAATTTCCTAATAACTGTTTTCCCTTAGCCTTACCCAATTTAAGTCTGAAAGATAGTTTGAAGCTTAACTCGCTTATGCATCTTAGAAGGTAGATAACCAATATACTTTAATTTAAATGTAAAAACCTTTATAATATTTTTTATTGGAAAATATTTCATGTATACGCTGCAAAGCTATTTACAAGTGATGACTAAGTTGTAAATTGGCCAGAGAACTGAATCTGAGTAAGATTATTATGAATTGTCACTAAACTGAACAAAATAATAGTGAATTGTACTTAAACATGAATTAAACTATCAATGAGAGGGTGTTACATATGAGGACTGATAATTAATTATTTTAAGTAATACATACCTTGCAGATATCGGATTAAAACACACATAACAGCTCCAAATATAAAGTTCCTGAGTAATACTGGCACAAGGGTAAAAGGCATACAAAAAACAGCTAATAATAAATCACTTATTGCAAGACTCAACAAAAACACATTAGTCACTGTTCTCATTCGTTTATTTTGTATCAAAGTTGCGATCACTAAAATATTTCCAACCATGGACAATAAAAAAATCACGGAATAAAATCCTATTTGAATATCCATACTGAGCGTCGTTAGTCCAACATGGCCGAGTCTCCTTTTTGTAGTATTTTCTTCCATTTCAATGGAACTGTTAAAAAAATCTATTGTTTTGTTCCATAGCACAAATTCGGGATTGGCATGAGACATTTTGAAGAATGAGTGAAATGAAACCAAAAGTAATGACTACTGGATTCACGCCACCGTAGGTAATTGATAAACTTTGAAGGTCGTGTGTAATGTCGCTAAGGAAATACTTTGTATAGTGGTTCTGTCGTTGACCGCTGAGGAATTGAAGCCTTCTTTACAACTCAAGTGACTCGGTAAATTCGATGTATTGGTTTTGAGTATGATGAGGTACTAATCCAAGTGGGTATTTAAGATCGTAGTAAAACCCAACTGATGTGCTTAATGAATGGAAAGTTTTCTGGTGTCTCAGACTCCTACTTACTCTTAAGTTGTACGACGGATCAATAGGATACCTCTAGCGTGTAAAGCTATCAACTCTTTGAAGATCTGTAAAACAGTAAAATTAGTTCAGATAAGACATACGTCTCTATAATTAACATATACGTTCCATGTTTGACATTTCAGGAAATGATATCTATTAATTTTATATAAAAACTTTATTTTAGAATGACATTAAATTGTAATATATTTACGATTTTTTCAGCATTTTGATCTATAATGCGATAAATTCCTCAAGTTAAATGGTCTAAAGTAAAATATATTGATTTAAATTATATATTGCACATTGTTATTTGGCATTTATATGGTTATATACTGTTACGTTACGTCAATTATCTTGAAGATATTCTATTTAAAATCGTATAAATCGATTAATTTGACTTTAAAATGGAATATTCTTGTCTCTGATCATTTATCCACATAATTATCACAACCCACGAATATTTTAAATCCGCCACCTAAGAACAAGACTGTTCAATTTCAGCTTTTGAGAAAAAGCATGTACCACAATGGTTCTTTCTTAAACCACCATAGTTGTCTGGGTGTTTATCTTAATATTTCAAAAACGAAACTTAAACCAAATATTCATATCTAGCGCTAATATGAGTTGATTTTTTCCGGTTACTTTGGAGCTGTGTGGTTAAAAATTAACTGTTCTTCTCAGCGAATCCAAAAATAAATTGGTGTAGAGTCTACTAAACATTTTGAGCCCCGCTGTTACAATTTCCATCTGTCGGTGCTCGAGTAGATTTTTATCACGGTTAATTTGAGAATAAACCCCCCTCGCAATAAATATGCCATGCGTCTGTATGATACACTGTGTTAGTACGACATTTGTCAACCTGTACCTGATTTGATTATTTTAAAAAATTAAAAACGATATAATAAATAAGACAATTAACGGGACTTAACTACTAATTCTGTAACATAAATGCTAATATGCATATGGTTGATTTGTTCCGTTTGTGTTTTGTAGTTATAAAGAATGAAATAGTTCATTAACTGCTACTAATGTTTCGCCAATAAAATGTTTGGATTTTTAGTTTTGTTTAGCGGTTCGGATCCTTAGTACTTGGTTTATTCTTCCCTTCATAATGATCCTGAAAGCTATTGATATCATAATATATTAACCTTAAAACTCACGAATTGTGATTCTACCAATCTATTCATTATTATTAATAATAAAAAATATTCTTGATTTCGATATTTATATATCTTGAATAAAACAAAATAATTTCAAAAGCTGACAGACATAAATGGTAAAAACTTATAATACTCACCGTATGAAAATGTCGAACAGAGTAATAAGACACCTTGTTACTTTCCTGGCAAATTCCACTCACGCTTTAGCTTTTATATGGTTATCTGAATCAAAGAAAAAAAAACCTTTCGGCACATTTTCCTCATTTAAAGATCGGAGAAAACACCACTCTAAGCCATTGAATAGACGTGCAACACTAACTGGAGGTTCACCCCGAAGCAACTTTTGGCTATATCTGATGGTTAATTCTAAAACTTCATATTATTAGATCCTACATATAGTCAATTAGTGACGTAACTAGAATATCTTCTATGAATAGATTCAGTTTGATCAGACAAATATATATTTTTTTCTCACAGAGCATTATGAATGTTTATTTTCGTCGCCCTTTTCCGCCTGATTCCAATTGCTTGCTGCAAAAATAATGATTGCTGAATTATTGCTTATGACTTACTAATCATTTTAAAAATAGTTCTATTCTTATTGCTCCACGAATTGATTTTTTCTGTTATTTCACAAATATTCAAAATATTTTTGTCTGATAATTGTCTTTGAGTTCTCAGATATAATTAAAAATTAACATAATTCCTCTCCGGAAATTTTTTTTCTGGAAATTAACATTGATTGACATTTTTCTTAAACTCCAAGACTTCAATAAAAGTGAGTGACAAAATACGATAAATAATTGTTGTGATTACGATTGAATGTGTCCAACAGTTTAAAGTAATTGTCTTGTGATATTGTCAAGCTAATTATTATATACTACTGTTCAAACAAATGATTTATACGGTCGAGCAATAATCATTATGCACATTCGAGACCGATTAAACCCATAAAAGCGAACAGACCACATTGCGTTAAGGTAGTTTAAGTAGTAATGCTCATAAGAAAGTCCTTACATTACTACCAAATAATAAAGTGAACGGATGTTTAGGAGTTGAATCGAACACGAATGTGCATAAATGCCTTTGCCAACTGTATCTTATCAACTGTACCATCATTTTCAAGGACGTATCCAAAAAAATGCCCGAGGGGTAGGAGAGGGGGTGCAAAATTAAGAGGTGTTTCTTCGAGGTGAGGGCGAAGCTGCAGGTCATTGGTTACCGATTTACCTTTCACAGGCCTGAAAGAAGATGTATGTGTGGTGGTGGGGAAGGGGGGGCATCCGCAAAATACAACACTCAACACATTGTGTGAAGTAAAGAACTCAATTTGGAAATTGTATTAGCCATACATTTATGTAAAATTTAACATCATATTTGGAATAAAGAAAACCTTCAACAACATGTAACATAATGTATTTGTAATTTAAGTTATGAACCGAGTTATGAAACGATTAATCATAACAACAAAGCCTAATGATATAATAGCAATTGTTTGTGACAGGCAATTCAATTATTGCAGGGAAGAACATTACTCTTGGCTATTCACAACCTATTACAATCTGTCTCGGTGTCTCGATAATGTAATAGTTTTTAAACACGGAAAATAGAATGTAATTTGGAAATTGAATATTGAGGTAATTTACTATGAAATTACTGTGTTAAGGAAAATATTTCGCTTTCTCTTGTGTCACCTTATTGCAAATTTGTCATCGTTTTATTTTATTTCCATCGAGTTTCATTAACTGTATCTCAATTTCTTGCTTTGCAGAAGGGAAATATTGCCAAGCTAGCGAATCGTAATATGTTCAATCTACTATCAGGCGGTATTCAAAATGAATCAAAGGAAAATGAAAAGAAAATTATTTTCTGTAGCGCATTGAACCATCAATTTTGATATTTTAACCCCGGAAGTATATAGCCCGATAAATCTTGACACGTTGGAATTGCTAGTTTTTGTAAACATTTCCAACATGTTTGAAATTTAAATTTCGCATAAATTTGGGTATTTATACAAAGGTTTAATTATTAGGTATTTTGATACCATGTGGGACACAGGGGCAATGTAGAAATGCAGCAATTGACTCATTAATAGTTCATTTTTGTATTTTTGGAATGGGCGCGAGAACTTCCGGTTTCTCCAAGACACTTCTGGTTACCCCGCTACCGTTATTAACCAGAACTATCGACACAAACCATACACGTTATAAAAAATATTCTTGCTGTTAAAATGGTGCTCAATACATCAATGAGATGCTGATATTGAAAATCATTCACTTTCGGATTTATACCCATTCGAAAGTTGACTGATCCTTATTCCAAAGATAAAGACAATATAAACAAAGACTTCTTTAACACTGAAAATTGGCGAAAAGTGAAAGGCAGTAAATGATGCTGTTGCCGAAAATGAGAAAGGAAATAGTGACAGATACTTGTGAAGGATTCAGATGAATTATGTTTTGCTAGCTGTAGAGATGAAGATGAAGATTACTTATGCTAGTTATTGAGCATTCAGATAAAGATAAGTTATGATAGCGACGGAGAATTTAGATGAGGATTTAGATAAGTTAAGCTAGATGTGGAGGATTCAGATGATGATGAAGATAAGTTATAAGATAAAGCTCCTTGCAGTACTTGTCGCCACAGTGCAGCGCCATCATAATATGCTAGCTGTGGAGGATTCAGATGATGAAGATAACTTATAAGATAAAGCTCCTTGCAGTACTTGTCGCCACAGTGCAGCGCCATCATAATATGCTAGATGTGGAGGATTCAGATGATGATGAAGATAAGTTATAAGATAAAGCTCCTTACAGTACGTGTCGCCACAGTGCAGCGCCATCATTATATGCTAGCTATGGAGGATTCAGGATGAGGATGATGAAGGAGATAAGTTATGCTAGCATGGAACATATAGATGCGGATTCAAATAAAGACCACCAAAAATTGGGGCCATTGGTTGCTAGTTAAATTTATCTGCTATATGCTAGAAAAGCAAGTAAATCTGTGTTAAAACATAGGTCAAGTTCTAGGAATATCAGATAAAGATAAAACTGTGTTGTTAATCAATGATCAAAATTTATTACTTTATAAAAATCTTGCAGACATATAACAATAAATTCATATTATTATTCGAACATTAATCAGTTTTATGGTGTTGAACATTGAAATAAAGGCACCAATTAAGCTGCAGTGCCAGTTGCCTCAGGGGTGCTACAAAAAAGAAATTTTGAAATTTGAAAAGTTAAAGAGGTATTCTAAGTCGAAAAAATTGTTGCACAAATTGATGTAAACTTTATACCAAAAGTAGGAGAAATGTTATCAACAAAACTATTTAAAAGTCTTTCGTAAACGTTTTAAGTTCGTTATGCTTTTTGGTAAATGTAATAAAACTACTGTACGGATTTAAGCAAATTTAGGAAAATATGTCTCCTTCGTATTCGAAGGTTTTCAACTAAAAATATGGAGGCCCAACACCAAAAAAAGTTTAAGCTATTTAATCAACAATTAGTAGCCTACACTCTGTTTTTAATTAACCCTTCCAAACCAAATTTAGTTTGATCAAGTAGATACAGATATTAATAGCATACTTTAGAAATATTTTCAGGTATAATTTATGACGTGTTTGATAATGAACATTTTGCATGCTGTCCCCTTAAAGATTGATTTTATTTTATATACATTTAAAAGTATATAACTAATCATAATTTCCGAGATGTGATGTATACTTGTCAGTATAGATAGATAGAGTTACTTTTCAATGAGTTTATACAAAATAAAATTGTATTACGGGTGAATTAACAACTTTTAAGCAATGCGCTCAAATGCGTTAAGAGGTTAATGACACCCGACTTGTAAGGAAGGAATATCGTTTTCGAACCGAACTATCTGTTATCCCCATTTCTAAAAGATTCAGTAATAAGGAATCTTCTTGGGGAAAACCATCCCTTTAGTGTTGTATAAATATACGCTGTCATTCATTACAGCACATAATGCAAGTACCATGTTTTTACATCATTTGTTATTTCTTCAAGGAATTCCAATACTTCTCATTATTCTAAATATGAACGCACCTCTATGACAGGTATATAAAATAGAATATTTAATCATTGTTTTTAACAGTTTAGGAAACTGAAAAAATGAATTGATTATGGCTCCGTACTGACTGCTTGTATTAAACAGGGATTCCAGTATGACATAAAAATGCAGAGGAAATGGGAAAGAGCATCTGAGGGTCAAGAGATAGTAAAAGGGAGAGTTTACAATTTGAAGGTGTTTTGAAAGTCATTTCCTCCTTATAGAAATATTTTCAACAAGATTTTTAGTGGCTTTAATTTAATACCAATGGTTAGAAGAATGGTGGGATTTTTCTAAAAAAGAAGGACGTTTGGGATCCCGGATAACAAAAGTACTTTAATGCATACGTCTCCAAACTTAAGTTAATATAACCATATGATGAAAGCCTGTATTGGTTGCATGTTGAAATCGTATTATTGTACAGAATAAATTGTTATTTCGTTGCCTTACAAACATCGCAACGCCTTAGGCTTTACCCCTTCCAAACAAATATGTCCAGAAGCGTTAGTCCTACAAATTGTGACGAAAACATCATAATTAAAACAAAAGCCGATGGTATGGATATAATGAATGACCAGAGGGTGATTACAAGATTCAGATAAATATCATTGCTTACTTCAAGCGTACACGTTAATGACTTGGCCATCAAATCTATTTGTTTTAGGTTGATTATTTGGTAACTGTATCAAATTTCATCAGAAATATTAGCCGATATATGTTCATATCAAAATAATGTGGAAAATAGAGAGGCAACATCCATCATACGACCAAGGCTATAAATACATTGATACTTCTACTAGGTCCTGTGTTTTTACCTAAAGGTTATTGTAAAATAGAAGTTTTATGACAGAACGGCGTCAATAATTTATTAACAAGAACATCACAAAATGATTTTCTATCAGGGATTGTCGATAAAATGTGGTTTATTGTATCAATATAGCCCAGTCTTTATTCTGTAAATAGGTTAAATTACTTCTTCCTGACCGGCTCTAAGACCATCAGTTCATAAGAGAATTCTTGTTTTAAAAAAGTAGTAATTCGGTTAACATTCTCTTTATTTATTATTTCGCTAACACATTTAGACTTTTGGTAGACGAAAATATTTTTTTTCACTTCGCGACACTGAATGGTTGGACGTAAAAGTTGTCACGTTTCTTAGTTTACATAAGGACCTAACGGTCAGGGTAAATACTATCGTTATACTATACTTTATTTCACTCACATAGGATGTATAAAGAGAAATACAACGTCGAAAAGGTTGGACAGTTTTCGGGAATCTTTCAGTTGAAGTTCGAGAATGTATTTGAGTTATTAAAAAAGAAAATAAAGCGAAATGATTTCGTTTTGATTTCTCAATTCCAATTGCTGTTTCTACTGCTATACACCGAAAGGCATAATGTGGAAATTTAGGTTGTCGTAACGTCCATGTCATTGTGAACACCCCCAAAGGCATGACGAATGGTGTCGGTAATAACTGCGCGTGATTATATTTCCAAAAGTTAGACGATGACACCGACAACAATTGATAGTTTGTAATAAGGTAAACTTAAACTTCACTATGTACAAGGTATACACCTTCGTTATCTTTACATAATATTTCTTGCTATATGATTTTAATATTTACCAAGGAATTTTGTTCCCGACACAATAAATTGTTTCGTCAACACGTTTGAATTGATTGTCTTTGATTGGTGAGGCTGCTGCCCACCTACGTAAACATTGTATCTCCCAGGGAAAATCTGCCATCCTGTATCGTCTTCTCTCCAAACCGCCATATCCTTTGCTGTTATAGTGAAAAATGCTGGATTATATTTTCCTGGTGCTATTGATATTCTTGAAAAACTCACAAGACTGAGCCTAGGTGTTGGATAAGGAGAATCCAGCCAACTGATATATACTTGAAGAACTTCATCCCCATACAAATTACCGATGTTATGAATTGTTAATGATCCATACACCGGTTCACTGGCTAATATTGAGATATCCATTGTAAGATTCGAGTACCGAAATGAGGTGTATGATAACCCGTAGCCAAATGGATACAAAGGTTCGGATGTGAAGTATTTATATGTCCGTTCTTTCATAGAATAATCATTTATGGGTGGTATCTGATTGTCATGTTTGAGCCAAGTAAATGGCAGTCGTGCTGCAGGATTGGCAAGACCATAAGGTTTATTATTTGTAATAACGTTAAACAATGCTGTTCCCGTTGATTGAGCGGGATAAAAAGCTTCAATGATAGATGTGATTTTAGTACTGTTGTCCGCCCAGTTCAAGTCCACTGGACCTGCGTTAAACAAAATAAGAACAGTGTTTGATGTTGGTGGAATGTAATTGGCTACATCTTCTAGGAGTTGTTGTTGGTATCCTGGTAAAGAGATGTTAGGTCTATCCATACCTTCCATTTCCACATCGTCCCCTAGCCCAAGACAAACAAATACTAAGTCGGCATCCCTAACTGCATTGATGATTATATTTCCCTCATACTGTCTGCAGCTTGTTCCATCGACACATCCTGCACCAAAAGTAATTTCTTTGCCTAACTTGACTAGCCCACTTAGAGGGGTACTTGTATACTTCGGATCGACAAGTGGCGAGTAATTCGAAATCTGTGCCCTTGAATTGTTGGCAAGAGGTCCAACGATAGCTACTTTGTTAAATGTTTTTCCTTGTAATGGAAGGAAACCCCCATCATTTTTTAGGAGAACGATGGATTGCATAGCTGCTAACTCGGCTAAGGAGCGATGTGATTTACTTTGCACGATTGAGATTGGAATCCCTGAGTACGGATTCATACTTTCAGGGTCGAAATCTCCGAGACGCATTCTGGTATACCAAAGAGGCTTACTCATATTTCTAACAAAGGATTCATCAAGCTTCCCTTCTTTCACAGCTTGAACTATGGACTGGAAAACCAAGCCTGTCGTTTTGCCTTCATCCGCCAACTCTAAATTACATCCAGCTTTAAGACTTGCTGTAACTGTATCAACTGAACTGTTAAAATATTTATGCCCAGTAATGATATGTTCTATTGCACCAGCATCACTTATCACATAACCTTTAAATCCCCATTCTTTCCTAAGAACACCATTTAATAATCCACTGTTAACACACGAAGGTATGCCATTAATACTGTTATAACTACACATAACATTGTAGGTTCCCGATTCGACACATGTTCTAAAGGCTGGTAAAAATGTAGTTCGAAAATCACGGGTACTGATTTTAGCATCAAATGCAAGCCTGTTTTTTTCTGGACCAGCATAAGCATCGAAGCTTTTACATCCTGAACTCACCAGTAGGTATCTTGGGTGATCTCCTTGTAATCCTTCCACGACGTGCTTAGACATTAATCCACTCAGCATAGGATCTTCTCCATATGTTTCCTCACATCGTCCCCATCTTCCATCCCGCATGATATTTAACATCGGACTAAGACAACTAACACCTTGATACACATTGTATTTTCCTTCTGAACGAAATTGTGTGTATTTAGCTCTCACTTCACTGGCAATTGCATGTGCCACAGCGCCTACTAGATCTGGAGCGAATGAAGCACCAAGTCCAAGTGTAGCTGGAAATGATGTCGCATTGTTGTTTACATCGCCATTCAGACATTCAGTCCACCATTCCCACTGTTTAATTCCCAATCTTGGTATGGCGGGAGCACCACCTGTTCCCCTGGCTAATTGCTCTTGAAGTTCTTGTAAAGTTAGTCGACTAACTAGGTCATCCACGCGTACATCCCAAGGTAGAGATGTGTTGTAAAAAGGATAATCGGGAAACGAGAAAGATGAGTGCAGAAAGAACACTATAAGCAGATAAAACAACTTCATCTTTATTCCAATTTGAAAAAAAAAACGTATCTCGTTGATCGAAACATTAAGTATAAGTAGACTATAGTCATTTCACTGATCAATTTAAAGTGGTCTGTTGTGAAATTTTGTACGAAACTGTCGATTGAAACGTATAACAGATGACAAAAATATCGTGAAAGTAGAGTAAACGATTAATGTTCTGTCTCGATATGATGTTTTAATGATGCGGGCACACGAACGGTTTTGGTCGGAGATTTTGTCGCCGAGTAGAGTCTTGTCATGAGTTTCGCCGATCGGCTGCGGTGCCCGCATAGAACAAAAATCTCTACTATGTCGATAATCACGTGCAATTTTAAGGGAAATGAATCTGATGATGACGCTCGGTCTTTCAGACGAATACAAATAAATCCTGGCGGTAAAGTACTTATGATCTGAGAAGGCCACAAAAATCGGCGACCAAGACTGTTCGTGTGCCCGCTCACAATCAGTGTCCCCGATTTTTTCAGTACAAAAACAGAAGATCTTTGAACTCATTATTTATTGAATGTTACTGGAAAGTATGTATGATTTTTTCTAAAGTGCAAATTCAGTAACACACCATTAGTAATAATATTCATCGCTTTAAATCAAGATAAAATTTAATATCTAAAACTTGATTATTTAAAACTTGATTATTTATCTTCATATATTATCTGATAACACGAGTAAATGAAAGTCAAGACTGTAGTCTTGATTGCCAATCGTTACGGTACTTTTTAATTGGTAGTTTGATTGTTTTAAAGTAGACTTGGAATGTTAGGTGCTTCAATTAATGAGACTATAAAACTATAGCTTCTTACTTCATAATTAACAATTTTATTACCATTTTTGAAACAAATTCGGGTTGATCAAATAGATATATAAATGTAAATAGCTTGATTTAGAAATCTTTACACTGATTATGTACAACTTTTTTATTGATGAAAATTTTGCTCCGTGATCAAAGAACTGTAAAAAAACTGATAACCCTCTCGACAATATTTTATTTATTGAAACATTGTGAAAAGTGGACTGTCCGAAAGTGAAGTCTAGTTTGTAAAACAGTGGTACCAACTTCTAAAGAACCATCGGATGTATTTTACAACCAATATAGTGATACAGCATATAAAACTTGCTCTATATTAATGAAGGCCATGGATTCGTAAATACGGCGGTTATAGGCTAAAGATGGACTGTGTCAATCAATAATGTTTTATCACAATATAAATGAGCATATTATTAACCGTTTAAATCATCAATTGAGTTAGGAAATAGGGAACAGATGTAAAAATAAGCTGAATCAATTTTCAAACTTCATTTTATTTTATGAAGAAGTTATGATGTTATTATAGCGAATTACTGGACAGATATTACAAATCTGTTTCTTGCATCTTGGCTGTTTTATTTGGTCAGGTATAAATTGATCTGATTGTAGTTAGGTAGATGACAAGTGAACGTTCGCTTCCAGCGGATGCTGATATCGCAAACTAGGTAGTTGTTGGTAGTCGTAGTAGTTGGATCGATTGTATCTCATAATGTTAACCTATATAGTAGCGGTGGGTATCGCTGGTGGTACTTCTCTTTGGAGGAGTCCACTACTATAATACTTTTATTTTCGATTTTGCCATACTTTGGACCCGATTTTGATTAACGGAATTGTCTTACTAGTAAGGATTGTTATTAATATTTGAAAATTGCTGAAACCTAAGATTCATCTTGTGGAAAGCAGTAAATACGACGGGAAGTGAAAGAATGTATTTACCAAGAAATTTTCATTAGAAACATTTCAACTTGACGTCGCTTTATAATAGAACTGTCTAATTACGACCATCCTTCCCCAGAGACAATTGGTTGTCATTGTGCGATTTATCTTCCTGACTAAATGAGAAAGGAATCATTTCTACCTGAACGTATTTAGTTACATAGCTATGTAAATCTGAAAGGAAAACGATTACTTATGGGAACGTTACTAAATCAATGCATTGATAGGTACAGGTTGGAATCATTCAGGAAGCAATTATTGTTCATATACACATATCACATAGTAATAATCTCATGAGCAATGATCCTGTACTCAATGCTCAGCGTTTGAATGGATTTGGGTCAAATTTGGCAAGGTAGTTTACAGAATGCATAAATATGCCGAACAATCTGAATTTCATTTATTGCACTTACAATTCTGGCGCTTTTCATAAGGCAACATCTCTAAAACAGTTCATAGAAACTCATCATCAACTTGAAACTAGTCAAGTTATTCTATTTCCACATAAACATACCAAATTTAATCTAAAAATAAATAAATTCTCCAGCTTTCTATTGTGGTAGTCAGCTGTTTTTGACGGGATTTCGCTATGTAAATGACAATAACTAAAAAAATATCGTTCATGGAAACATCCTCTACATTTCAATATATTGAATCGTTTTTCAAAGTTCATTAGCATACTCAACTACGCTTTTTCAAGGTAAATTAATAAAAAAAAAACGTTAGTTGAAACTTCCTCTAGCTCAAAGTTCTCAGATGCATTTCATAATGCCCTAACATGTTGATTTTGACGCGTTTTAAATAAGTCAATCCCAACAAGTTTATCAAAATCAGATGAAAATTGTAGTTCCTATTATGTGAACGAGAAATGTTTACCGAAGTGGGCCCCGACAATATACGTCCACATGTGGGCGTGAAAAAGCACAGATATATAACACATAGAACTATTTAGTAAGCACCAGACGTTAAAAGATTATTACATTATCTAAATACAATTATTCTATCAACTGTCAAATATTATTATACTATTATTTAGTTACATTTCGTTAAGGTAAATGTCATACAAAGTATCCGTTTTGCAAGTGCAAGAACCACAAGGACTCAGACCACTTTAGTAAAATAATTATGTAACAGATTGTATACTTTAGATTTTTAGAGATCCTCTTTCTCCCACTATTTTTAACCTGCCTTTTTTGACTAATGTTTGATGATGTCTGAAATTGCATTTTTTCAGATTTTGTGAAATAAGAAAAAACACAAACAAAAAAAACACCCGGATAATTCTAGAAAAAATCGGTGTTTGTTCTGTGACAGTCAAGCGGATGTTGATAAAATATAGTGATCTATTTTAATTTGACTACCTCAAAATTAATATGGCCTTGATAATGATATATTTAATTTTTATCCAGAAACTAAGTATTGAATAGGCTTTCATGGGGCATATGGGGAAGTTAACAACGAGATTTCTAGAAAAGGTTACAAAAAATAAATTGGACATATATCGCAAATCAATGGAGTCGGTCCATAACCATACTATGCAAGTTGTTTCCCTTTAGCCTGCAATATCTCATCCAACTTTCTTGACAAAATGGTTTTTAGTGCAACCTGGTTTTTAATTTAATTACAATGCGATATTTTGTTCGAGTGTTAAATGTAATAATATTTCTCTTTTACATCGTAAAAATTATTTGGATTTTTTTTTGCTGGAAAACTACAGAAAAAAAGAGAATTTGCCATGACGTAAGGTCCGATTGTATACAAACACGAGAACTGTATTTTACATGTGTGTAGTAATGGAAATAACATCATTGTTGTTCAGTTTTTATTACAAAAATAATTTTGCTTATAGTATACTATTTATATCTATGTATCTACTTGATCAAACTGAATTTGTTTTAAATGGGTTAATTAATAAAAAGAGTGTAGGCTACTAATTGTTAATTAAGCAGTTTTATTTTTATTACATTACATAATGTTTTTAATTATTTTTGGCATTTAAAAATTAACGACTAGATTTTTTTAGTTAAAACTTTCAGATATGTTATGGCACATTTCTGTATGTATTAGTGTATAGTTTTCACAAATTTAACACTAACAATTTTCGACCTACAAAAAGCGGAATGTTCCTTTAATAGCATCAGGGTTTGCTAAAAATAATTTATAATTATACAAATTTGATCCTTTTAGTATGTACACTCTTTTACTTTGTAAAAATCTCCCTAACCGAGGCTACATTACCATTACAACTTAAGTTTATAGAAAAAGATTTTCTCAGGTATTAAAGGGAAAGTACTCTTGTATTTGCATCAAAGATGATGGATAAAGATATCAGCGGGAAAGCTAATACACTGCTAAATCCTTACAGAATCAATTACATTGAACGTGCACTAGTAACTGGATTTTTAAAAAACATTTTTAACATTGAAAGGGCAGTAAGCAAATTTTGTATTTATCTGTTTTAAAAGGGTTAATTAAAAACAGAGTATACTAATTGTTAGGTAAGCAACTTAAACTAGTTGTAGTGTTGGGGCTCATAAGTTTTTTCAACCTACTAAAAATGATGCCTCTTTAAATTCTTGCAACATTGGTTAACGTATAAAGAAAAAAACAAATAGATTCATTGGAATGGCGTGGTTCTTATGTAGTGCCTAGCAGTTTTACTTTTTCCACGTTCCTTTCTTGTTAAAAATCTTCAGTTCCACATTACATTTTTATACATATCGAACAAAATAAAGGTCGCTATAACTTTTTTTAACAAAAATTCCAGATCGCTACAACTCGTACCATACCGCCTAATTAAAATTTATTAATTCAAAAAAGACTGGGAATAACAAAACTGCGAGCAAAATTCAAAAATCGGTTACAAAAGAATTGGTGGTCTTTAGTTCCTTTACTATTTAAGAAGAACTGTGGCCATCTGTAATGTATTATTACTTTATTCCATTATTGGACAGCGAATACTTATATCAATCGAAAGTAGGCGTGTTCTAATAATTAGAAAAAATACCAGTTTAACTCAAAAGTTACCTAATAACGAAGGGATTTTGTGATCAAGCGGTCACTTGGTGAAGACCATTTGGTCTTGCACTTTTCATAAGGAGTGTGACTTTTCACAGCTGAACATTACGAAGAAAGCCAAATCCTCTACCTAAATAGATATATGCTAAAATTAGTCATGACGTCTAAATCTAGTCCTGTGTATTGCCTATATTAGCTTAACACGTACGGTTGAAATACT